TTCCATATGTATTTATCCTTTTCTAAGACAAATAATAATACCTTACATATGCAAAAGAGTTTGTCAAAGCATTTTCTAGTTCTTAAATCATTGTTTCCATGCTGGTTTCAGGGCTGACTAAAAGTTATTGTTTTTGTATGTGACAAATGAATAAAACTGAAGATTAGAGAGAATGGATTAACTGGTCCTAATTCATGCAATGAGTAATAACACTGTCTTACATTCTATTGCTTTTCAAAGTGCTTTCATCCATTATTTACTTGATTTTTTATTATTCCTTTTGGGTAGTTACTTACAAAATATAACCTCTATTTTATGATTCTTTGTGAACTTGGTTACTCATCATTTTTCATCCCTCACCTCCCCCACTCCAGAACACTCTGCTAATCCATACTGAACTGGTGCAATAATTGGGAATTTTCACACCTGAGTTTTGCACATTGTGCTTTCCTGGTTCACGGAATCCCTGCATTCCTGAACAAGGTCACTTCTGGGAGGTTTCCACTGAACCACCCTTGTTTAGAATTGTGAGCACCTCTTGCCTGAGCACTTAAATTATACCAATTACTTAATCAAGTTGTAGTCCAAAATTCGAATTTAACCTTACACTTACAGTCAGCAATTATATTACACCTTTCTTATCAGTTAGATCTGGTCCTGTTTTATACAATTTCAAATCCTGCTTTAAGAACACAAAAAAATGGATAATAAAGTGGGCATAACCTGAAAACCATCACTGAGTAAGTGAGAAGTGCATGTTTAATTTGATGAGATGTAAGAAAAACTATTAGAAGGCATTTTTCATCCTTGTTAGTTGTTCAAGCTAATATTTGGTCTTGGGATGGCCCAAATCCAAGGAGCTAATGTGTGGGTTTTGAGCCATTGTGAATAAAGACCAGTCCAGCCCCATGTAGCCCAGGTCAGGGTACCCACCACTTTAACAATGACACTCCAAGGCCTAGACCTCAGGAAAGCTCCTTGCAGCACAACAGAAATGCTTTAAAAGCTGATTGCTTTCTGACTGCCTCTCTGATAGGTCGTTGCTCTCTGCTTCTATATCATACACCTAACTTTGGATTCAAGCTTTCCTTTTTGAAAAATCTTTTCAAGGTTTTTTGGTCAAACTTTCAGTGTCTTCAGGCTTTAAAATTCTTTCCTTTGCAGCATAAGTTTTAACCATCTTCAGTGATGTATTCCCTTATCAGCCATGGCACACTTAACTCCTCATTCTCAACAAGGGGCTCTTACCTCTTAACTTCAGACAATTAGAGAGAAGGACACCTAAATCTCACTTTGCAGCCCTCTGTCAGTCTGAGACAGGAAGGGCACAGCCATTCAAGGAATAACACTGCAGTTAACACCAGGGTGGTGAAAGATTCAGCCCACAGGAGGCCTTGAGGCTCAAGATGGTGGGAGGTTTGACTTCTAGTAGATCTTGAGCTTCCTTATACACTCATTGTATATATTAGCATGTTGAATAGCATGCCCGTAGGCACCATGACAGTCCCAAGGCTAGCCACAGAAGGTCAGAGAGTGGGAAATGGCCAACTTCCTGGGAATCCCAGCCCCTCCTCCAGGGTAGTTAGACTGGTCCTTCCACTTATTAGCATATGAAGCTACCAAGCCCATAAAAACTGGAAACACAGAGACTTGTGTCTGCCTCTCTCACTCCTTCCTCTTCAGAGATGGCCTGCACTCTGTCTATGGAGTGTGTACCTACTTTTACTCTAACCTCAGCACCCAACCCCCACACCTCTTAGCCTTTCTCTTGTCTTTTAAAACAGCCTACACTCTATAATATGTATCTTTCTAAATAAATATACCTTTACTCAACTGTGGCTTGCTCTTGAATTCTTTCTTGTGTGAAGCCAAGGACCCACACTTGGCAGGCCACATTCCAGGGGCTCGGCTGAGGCCTGGGTCATGGCCTTCTTCATGTCCTACATCCATTTTCCCTGCATTAAGTCTTTGATAGCCATGACTCATCTTTGGGGCTAATCATTTAGATGCCAACACTCTCAGGGATTAAGAGCCAATGGTCAGAATAAGGAAGCATCATCATAATAAATGATACAATATAATTACAGTATTTCCACATGCATCTGCTATGCCATTTTTATAACCCTGACTGACTGATAAGTAAATCGACTGGGGAGTAAAGTGATTTGCCTGCAGTTTGCTCTGAGTAAGGCACTGTAGGCACAGCCTGAATGGTCCTTGTCCTCTACTCTTGGAGGCAGTGCTTTCTCCATATCAACTCTACTCTTAGGGAAGGCGATATTATTGCTTTGAGCATCTCTGTGTTTCCACTCTGAGAGATGCATTTTAATCTGTTTATTCTCTCAACAAAGAATACTTGTTCTTTACAAGAAAGCCATCATGATAGATCCAGGAATACAGCAATAAAACAAAATGAGGGTTTCCTCAATGGAAATGTTGAAAATCCACACTGGCACCTGAGGAGAAGATGACAAAGATGGGGAAAAAAAATAGGATGATATACAAGGGTATAATGTGGGATTCCATTCTTGACTCAGTGGTCAGACAATACCATTTTGAGGAAGTTATATTTAGGTTGTGACTTAAAATAGACGTAAATGTTTATTAGACAAAGGAGGATATGAAGGACAGAGAGAAGTCCCATTCAGGCATGGAGATGTTGGGATGAGAGCCCCTTGAAATATGTCTATATACTAGTTTGCACTCACTTCTCGTGTGTTTGTCTTAGTCAATCTATCTTTTCCTTGGAGAGAGCACTTTTTACTCACCTCAGAGGTGTATGTTCATCTTTCCAGAGCTTTTAGGGGAAGTAAAGTGTGACATTTTTTGATACAATCTGTGCCAAAAAGTAGAAATACATCACCTGCTCAGGAACAAGAATCCTGACATAAAAAAAAAAAAAAAAACCAAATGGTAGGAGAACCAATGCATAGGCAAGGAACTTAAATAACATATTAGAGTGTCTGAACACAAACCTGGAGCCTGACAGCTTCTAGGTATTATTTCATGAAACTCCAGGATGACCATTATGATTTATTCATCAATCAGGTCTATGGCTCACCCTAAGGCTGCTTGACTTAATGCCAAGTACTAGCAATTGAAATGTCACATGATTATAGAACAGGGTTCATCTGAAGACCCCAAATCTGCCAAAGAAGACCGATGCCCTGCTTGGGAAAACTTTCTATCAGAAGAAGCACATGGAAAGTCAAGAAGGCACTGGAACATTCCAGGAATAGGAGACTGAAGCAAAGAAAGTGTGTAAGGAGTGAATTAAGTAGTCATTCAAGGAATCCAAGAAGTAGTAAGTGGGTAAGGGAAGTAATTAATGGCTAGTCATCTTTTCTGAAAGCTTTGACATTTCATTACCTAGGCTGTGGTCTTCTGTGACCAGAGGGCAACTCGGATTTGCTTCAGGAAGGCAATTTGCAGTTTCTGTGACTTTAACTTAAGAGCATATGTCATCAAATCATTTTTGGCTTCAGAGTGAGGCTTCCAAAGTTTCAGATTTCTGCTCTAGATCCAATTTTTATGTGTCTTAATCACTTTTTACTAGCCTTGTTTTTGCCCCTTAAGTCAAGTGAAATCAAGCCCTAATCTCTGCAAAGAAGAGTTTTGTTTTCTTTTCAATCCTGGTTTCTCCTTACCTCTTAACTGAAATACTGTACACTGCTGCCACCGAAGAATTAATTTTTCATGCCTGACAATTCAGCAGATAATGTTACTTCTTTGTAACAAGTGAAATGTAGTTTGCTTGGGGCTCACTTGCATATGAAATGGAGTATTGTTAAAGCTGGAAAAACCAGGAAATCCCCAAGCCACTGCTTCTGTTGGTCCAACAAAGGGATCCCTCATTTTTTATTCATTGTTGTGGGGCCAATTTACAGAGTGACAAATCTCTGATAAGGGCCAGAATCTAGCGACCATCTTCTCTGATGCCATCAATCAAGTGCACTAGACTTTGGTGGCAATTCCCTTCCACAGGCATGGTGAGCAGACTCTGCTAATGGATTTTGGCACTGTGCTGTAGCCCCCAGAATCACCAACTATGACGAGCATCTGAGCTGTGTGAGTTAAAGGGAAAAATCTACCCATGTGAATAACCCATGTTTTTCTCCCCTTGACTGCAAAGATTTTGCTAATTTCCTAAGCACAAAGCAAGTTTAATTAAAGCCAGTGGAGCAAGAGAATTCCACAGTCGAATGAATTTTTATGTAGCTCGCACATTCGGAGCCAGGCAAAATATGAATTATGTTGATATAAGCTTTGTTTGGTAAATAGTCTCACTCCAGGCACTTCTCTCAATCCCTGGGACACTTTTAAGTGTTTACTGAGTAGAGCTCCCCTCTCCCTCCTCCTCTTTGTAGCCCCCCCAAGCATACCCCTGTCTTTTGGATGTATTAACAATCATACCCTCCTTCCAAGAAGCACAAGGTAGAAGCAAAACTCAACAAGGAAAGTACCTCTGCTTGCCCTTGGCCCAACTCTGGGCTTCGACTCTTCCATCAGCCCCTTCTCTCCCTGACAAGTAGCAAAATGGTCAGAGACTCCACTCAGGATTCCCCCACCTGTTTGGGTACCTGTGAACAGCACTTTCCCATTTGCAAAGAGGTCCTTTTTTTTTCCTTATCAGTAGTAATTGTCCATCTGGAAAGAAAAGGATTTTTTTTTTTAAGGTTAGAAAATAATAAAGTGGATATATGCTTACTCTTATAGAATTCCATAGAATATGTCAACTGAAATAAATGCACAACCTAAAAGCTGAGAATTATGTTTTATTTGGTGGACATTTTCTGAGGACTTGAGTCTGGGATCATAGCCTCCCAGATTGTTCTGAGGGACTGCTCCAAAGAGGTAGGGGAGGAGCCAGGATAAATAGGAGCTTTACAACAAAGACCAGGTAGTCAGAACATTAAAATGTTACTTGTTAACTAAAGAAAACCAGGCTTCTCAAGTTAAAGAATTTAGTGTTTTTCTATGTATGGGAGGGAGCTAATATTGGGGCTCATTGAATTCATTCCTTTGACAAGCACCTAGCTATCTAGGGCCAGTATCCTGTCCTTTCTTATTGTGAGTCCCTGCAGGGTGCACCATGGTGAGTGGCTGCAGAGGCTGGGCTGCAGGCTTGTCTTCACTGGGGGGTGACAGTGTCTGATGACGTGATGGCTTCAGCATTCTTTGTTTTCTGATATGGCTTGCAGTATTTTGCATTCACAAATAGGATGGCTTGAAAAGAGAAAAAGCAAAGGAAGTTCCCATTTATCATTATCTTTTTCATATTCTATACTTTTAATGGTATTTTTACCATTAAATAAATTTTCTCTGTATTCACAACACTGTATTTCTACATGAATTCAAACTTTTTATTGATAACTTATTTTTAACTGGATTTGGATGAGCAGATTTTTGCACATCTAGGCCAAATTCAGAAACCAACTAACTGAGACACTGATGAATTCACTTTTATGCAAATATTTACTGAATGCAGCCACATGCCAGGCATTCCTCTAGACTCTGGAGATTCAGCAGTTAATAAAAGTCTTCATGGATCTTACATTCTAATTAGAAGAGACAGATGATAAACAAAATATTAAGTGGTACAGAGGGAAATGAATGAGGGGAAGCGTGTGGGTTCAAGTGACTTTTAAAATGCTGGGTGGACAAATCCTTCTGGGGAAAGTATATTTATAAAGTCTTAATGAGGTGTGGAATAGTCACAGAGTTATCTGGAGGAAACACTTTTCAGAAAGATAGAAACATCCAGTTCTGGGCCTGAAGCAGGAACACCCCAGACATAAGCTCTGGGACTTGCATGAAGGCTGGTGGGCCTGTGCAGAGTGAGCATTATGAGCCGAATTGTGTTGCCTAAAAAAGAGTCATGTTTTGAAGTCCTAATCTCTACTACCTCATAAAGTGTTTAGAGTTATGGTCTTTAAATAGGTAATTAAATTAAAATTAAATTATTAGGGTGGACCCTGATCCAATGTGACTGGTATCCTTATATTAAGAGTAGTTTAGGCACAGACAAAAACAGAGAGAAGGCTATGTGAAGACACTAGAAGAAGACAGCCATCTCCAAGTCAAGGAGAAAGGCCTCAGAAGACACCAACCTGGTTGACCTCTGTTTATCTCTTGGCCTTGGACTTTTACTTTCTAGAACTAGGAGAAAACAAATTTCTGTTGTGTACATCACCCAGTGTGCGGTGCTTTGTTATGGCAACCCTGGTAAACAACTACAGTGGACAGAGGGAATGTAGTAGGAAATACGGTCCAAGAGCCCAAGGGGATGCGGATCGAGTCAGACCTTACCTACAGGCCCTTCTCTATGATGAATTTGCACCACACCACGCAGACATAGCATGTACCAAGGTGCTGGCAGGAAGGGCCTGACTCAGCAAACAGGCTAGATGTGAATCTGGGAGTTCTAGAAGAGAGAAGGGGCCTCAACCCCACAGCTTTATTTATGCATTAGCACATACTTATAGATTAGCCTAAGAGAGGTTAGGGAATGCATAGTTTCTCTAAATAACAAGGAATTGCATCAGGAAAACTCCTGGTCAAGAACAATACCAGAGATTTTGTATGCAGAGTGCCAAGGTCTGCACACTCAGGTCCTGGGGACAGCTTTGCATGCTGGGAATAGTAACATCAGCTGGACGTCTGCCTCTTCACAGACACTTCCAATCCCAGGGAGCTAGCTGTCTGCTGAACCACCACCAAAAGTTGGAAGGAAACGAGCCTCTAGGACCGTTTGGATTTGTCTCTAGTTTACTAGAGTCAAGGATGAACCCAGTATTTTCTTGTGAACAACTGGAAATACACATTTGGTATTAGAACAAGATTTGTCTTGGATGTAGCAGATATAAAATATCTTGGTAGGCATCCAGGCAGAGACAGCAAGAAGGGACTTAAATAGAACAGGATAGATTTGGGGGATAGCTTTGGGTTGGAGATTAAATTTTAGGAATCATCAGCATAGAGATAATATTCAAGTCATAAGATGGTAGAACAATCATCACAAAAATGTATGTAGACAAAGTAGGCAAGAGGTCCAAGGGTTGAGCTCGGGGTCCCATCACTAGGAGGTCAGGGAGATGAGGAGAAATCAGCAACACAGACTGAGAAGGAATAGTCTGTGTGTAGGAGACAAAGGAGAATATGAGGTCCTGGGAGCCAAGTAAGATGTTTTGAGGAAGAAGCACTGATCAGTGTTGTCAAAGACTGAAGATCTGGACTTAACTACTGAGTTTCCAGTAAGTATGCCATAGATGACTTTGACAGGATGGGTTCAGATGAGGGGTAGAGGGGGCCTTACTACAGAAAGGTTAAGAGACAGTGGGAGGAAAGTACCTCAAGACAAGGAGTACAGGGTAATCTTTCTAGAAGTTCTGCTATATAAAGAGGAGCAGAGCAATGGGACAGTAGTGCTAGTGTGATTCCATGTGGAAGCCCATGAGTTTCTGCATGAGGAGTGCGATGTCTGCTTCCTCTTGGTTTCCTTAGCACCAACATCCAGCCTACTATGTAGTAAGTGTTTCACAAGTATTTCCATATAAAATTGAGAAAGTAGAAAGAAGGGGAGATACTGCTGTTACCAAGGGGAGGGGAAAAATGTTACCTTGGTTCTTTGTCACCCCCCCACCCAAAAATGAACTTTTAATGAGAAACAGACAGCATGATATAAACAGACTTTTTATTAGTAAAGTAAAAAGGTAGTAAAATGTAGTACACACCCAAGAGAGGAAGAGTGGTGTCGCTCCTTTGTTTTTCCTGTTCTTATATCCTGGCTTGGGAGCGTTTTCATGATTGATTGATTGATTGATGGCTTATGTTCTTTGTGTGTTTGCGCTGATTGATTGAGGGCTCACGTTCCTTGTGCCCAGACACGCCCACATCTTTTGTGCATGTTCTTACCCATGATGCACACAGAGAAAAACCTAGAGGCGGAGGCTCAAACTGCAATCAATTACATTATAATGAGCGTTGGGTCATGTTAAGCCAGGTCCTTCTCTATGGTGCAGAAGAAGCATTCAATTCTAGCCAGCTTCTTTGCTGGCCCTCATTTAGACAAAGTAAAAGTTTTTGGAGCCCTTTATCCTGAGCACAGGTATACTGCTATTTTCTGGGTTGC